CCCCCCCCCCTTAGATTTGAAAAACCGTAACAGGAGTTCCCCCCCCCTCCCCCCCCCCCCCGTCCCCCCGCCCCGCGCGCGCCGAAGCCGAGCACAGCAGCGACAGGCCCAACGAATGAAAACAACGAGTTCTACTTGTTCGTGCATGTACAGAAGAGATGATGCCACATAGTCTAATGATTTCGGTTGGTTCTTCCTCGCTGGCGACGCTGCTCCATCAGTTAAACTAATCATAGTGCTGTTGGAGGGGCTGGTTCGATTATGTCGGTGGCGACCGGCGCTTGGTGCTACTGCTTCTGCCGAAGAAATGCGGTAGGACTTCGAAGAAGGAGTTGCACAACTAAGTCCGTCAGGGGAAACAAAAACAAAACCAAGAGCAAGGCTACAGGAAGGAAAAAAAGGGAAAAAAGAACAAAAAAACCTTCCGCTTCCTCTTGACGTTTTTGCTGTCCTGTTGTAGATCAGGGCAGCTCTTGTATCCCCACCCCCTCCTACAGTGTACGGTATCAAATTCGTTAAGCCAGAACCAAAAACCTGCGCGTTTTGCCCATCACTCACCGGCACCAAATTGAACCCGAGACTCCAAAGCATCGAAGGAGACAACAAAAGAAAGAAACACAAACTCGTCGACATTAACACACAGCACAGAATACATGTACGCACACACCCACGAGCCCCCCCTTCCTATTCTCAACTTGAATCAAAACAACGTTTTTTCCCTCCCCATTACATAGCAAGAACGTCCAACGAAAGCCTCCGACCTAGGACGCCCCGAACCAAATCCAAACACACGAATACACGATGCGTGATCCAATCATTGAAGACTCATGGAAGAACAGTGCCGTTCCACCCACCTACCCTACATTATAACCAAGATACGCTTCGCCACCTAGCGCGTATACGGCGGTGGCGGATCAAACGACGCGCCCCCGGCGGCCGCACCGTGCGCTCCCGGGGCGGTGGGCGAGCGGGGCGGCTGCGGCAGTGGCGCCGCCGGCCTAGGGGGGTTGGGGGTGATGGCCTTAGACCTGAAGAACTTGAGGAGCTGGTCCGGGATCTCGGCCATCGTGTCTGCTGCTAGCCGTGCCCCCATGCCGCCCTCGGCCTGAGTGGGCCGTGAGAGAGAGAGGGGGAGAGAGAGAGAGAGAGAGAGAGAGAGAGAGAGAGAGAGAGAGAGAGGCAGGCAGGCAGGCAGGCAGGCAGGCAGGCAGGCAGGCAGGCAGGCAGTCAGGCAGGCAGAGAGCGAAATATTAGTCAGATAACACATGCAAACCACGAGAGGTTGTTGATAATAAGGGGTGCAGCGCTGCAAGATAGTATTCTAGACGCTGCCCCGTCGTGCGTGTGCAGAACACCGGCATAGATAGGAGGTACGCACGCGTCTGCTCACACAAGGTATGACTCTACATGCTCACCAGGTTGTATTTCGAGAACGGGACGAACTGCACGATATCCCTCGTCGCCTTGGTTCGGACCGAGTCTTCCAGCATACCCCCGTCACCGTCCAGCCTGGACATGTCCTGCAAAATATCGCACGGATATCGTAAAAGCTAGCTTAAGCCTCAAGTGTGAGGTGCAGGCTGGGGTAAAGGTTGGGGCTAGGGTATGTTTTTTCCTGTCCCTGAGCGAACCAAGCACGGAGTTATAGCAGCAGCTGTCGACGTCAAAATCGATCACAGTTCGAGGAACAGATAACAAGCGGCTGGCGGGAAACTCCAACTTGCGGCTGGCGGGAAACTCCTAATTTTCGATCCATGGACAGTAGTGATGGGACACAAGAAACAAATCAACAAATCAAGCAACTGGCTTGGTACATTAGATAACTTTGAGGGAGGATATCGACGGCCGTACCAGTCGACAGCCGCGCGGAGGTAAGGTGGCAGGAGGAAACCGAACACTGATGTTGCTTCTCTAAGGGAAATAAAAGGCGCGATTTCCGATACAAACAGGAACAGCAGCCGCAACGGCAGCATGTAACTGTATATTGCAGAGTTTCAACCAACCACGAGTAGCAATACACAGGGATAAACAGGTGGCAGGTAGTTGGTGAGACTGCTGTTTGGTGCAAACCAAATCCCACAAACCGAAACACATCCAGAGAGGCAAGACGAGTAATTTAGACTAAAGAACAAAACATTATAGACAATCACGTGGCAAGAAAAAAAAACAGCAGAAATAAATAACCCGGACGAGATGTCTACATGGAACCAAGCAAAAAAATGGTGGAATCAACCAGTGTCATGGTATATGTCGTCTCGAGAAAGATAAACTCACCGAGAAGTCGGCCTGTCCGACGCCAACGATCACCACGCTCAGCGGCAAGTTGGAAGCAGCAACCAAGGAGTCGATAGTCTGAGGCAGGATGAAGAGCATGGCATTCAATCCCACCGTATCAGAGAGGCGAAGCAGCCGAGCAGGTGACGCAGGCAAGGAATGGTCGCTCAAGTGATCCGGGGGGGGGGGGGGGGATGAAGCCATCTTGAAGGAATTACAAAGTAGTTTTTAGTTCTTAGTGTCTACCCCCAGTGCTCGACCGAAACGCCTTCTCTGACTATGCTAACCCCCCAGGTTATTTCTTGCGCATACTCCAGCGAACGGTCCAGGAATGACTGCCGTATGCCGGCAGAAAATACAAAAAGAACGCGCACACAAGCAGGGACTAGCCCCGGTCGAACCGGATAAAGTCCATAACTATGCGGCATGTCTGGCGCACGTGTGGCGGGTGTTCATTGGTTTGGCACGTTCCTCGTGCGCATGCGGCGCACAGCGGGCCAGAGTTGCAGGCATAAGTGCGTCATGCAAAAGATCGCTGGGACTGCTGCAATGCAGAGTGCTCCTTCAGTACCAAAAGCGCCGACAAAACAAGGCCACAAGGCAAAGTCCCCCGGATCTAGCAACCAATAATAGTAGGAAAGCCCAACCCTCTTTTCTCACTAATCGTCGAACCACAACCAGGCGCACGGAGAGCTACAAAAAACGTAATGAAAAAAAAAACATAAATCACCAATGGCCCTGGGGTTGCAACACCCCCCCCTCCACCCACAGCGCACACCTGCTGCATGTCGTTGATGATGCCGTCGGTGAGTATCAGCAGCACGTTGTACCGCTGGTCCGCCTGGGTGGTGGGGCGGTTGGCCCTGGCCATGGCCGTCTGCAGCACCTCCGTGAAGAGCGTCGGGCCCGCCAGCTGCACGCTGGTCATGGCGGCGGAGTAAGCCTCGAGGATGCCTTGGACACCGTAGGCTTCTTCGGACCCTCCGGCGTGAGAGACCCTGACATTTTTGTTGTGTGAGCCGGAGCCCGGGGATAGGTGCACAGCAGCAGATGTGAGCGCGGATCACCACTTAGGAGTCTCTTGTTGATGCTATCTGCCAAAGCGTTCCAACTAAATCTGGTCGATGTAGGAGGGTTCGATGCTCCGTATCTTGCACCAAGCGTTGGGTTGGCTAATTTTGGCGAGGGCGCACCTTTTTGCCCTCTGGGGCTAACCCATACCCCCAAGAAACGCCGCGAAACTGTGTGCGTGCGTATACCGGCTACTGCTGTAGGCCCTACCAGATACACCGCGGGATGAGGATCAGGGGGACAACTCCATCGAAACAACAAGACGAAAAACGCTACGAACGATAGAAACCCTGCTGGCCTACGACTGCTACAGACAGACCGCATCAGACCGCATCACACCTGCAGATGGGGAAGCAGTGGCTGACGGGCTGGCCGTTGATCCTGCCTCCGAACCCGTATACGGGAAACATCTTGTCCGAGTCGTAGTCCTGCAGGATGTGCCCGATCGACCAGATCGCCTGCTGGTACTGGTTCAGCCTTCCGGAGGGGTCGAGGTAGTGCAGGCTCTGCGGGTGCGACGGGCTGCCGTTGCTCCCTGGGGGGGGGTTGTAGGCGGCGACAGCACAAGGTACAGGTTGAGGTTAGGTCAAGGGGCTATGGCACGACCAAGCGGCGACGTAGCCGAACAGGGAGCACGCGGCGATGCCCGCTGAAATTCTGTAAAGATCGGTCGGTCAGTCTCAGCGTGGCAAAGAACGGCAACGCTTTCCATGGTCATGATCTGGGGCCCCGTGAGGGGGGTTCACATGGGAGGCTACGGTGTTCGCCGGATTGAAAACGGAAACTGTAACTGGCCAAGACGAGGCACGTACCTACCGAGGTGCGCATGTGTGTGCGTGTGCTGCGTAGACCCTGACACACAGCAGCATGAGTTCCAACACCTCAACGAGCACCACAATATCGGTAAACGCTTCCTCTGTGTTTCCACGAACAGCAAGCAAGCAGTGCAGTCAGTCGATCACTACTGGTACTGTATAACAGCACGCACCCGTGAAATCGATCGCACACGTCATGCTGATCTGGAGACCACCGGCGAGGTACTCGAGCAGCGTGGGCTGCCTGTGTACCTCCGCGTGGTCCACCGTTGAGCTGCCCCTTCCCCTTGTTATCCTTGCAGGGGGGGGGTCGGGCACAGGGGGAGGGGTGGGGGGGGGGGGGGTACTCATAGTCGTGCATGCCGTAGTCGTTTGACCATTGACCTCGCATCCCTACAAAGCCGGGACGGAGCACGCCGGGTTCTCACCGGACCAGGCTCTCACATCACCAAGCGCGAAGCGCCGTGAGGTATTTGGCGAGTCGCATGAAGGGTGAGCTGCATCCTGCTAAGGGTGTTCGGCATCTTGTGCTTACTTCCTTGCGTACGGATGACAGCTACGTATGACTTAATTTATTTTCTGGTGCTTTCACTTCCAGAGACAGTTGTAAGCACTGTGTAACTGCCTCGAGGAAGCTTGACCATTTTAACACAACGTGGTGCGATCATCCCCCGTTGCGCGGAGTAAGGGTTCTCGACCCCGCACAACATAATTTACTCGACCACCATTATGGTTACCGCCAAAAAAAAAAAACCGAGGTAAAAAAAAAAAACCGGTAACCTGGGTGCCGAGTTCACGAAGTGAGTTGGCTTGTTTTACAACGTCGTTGCCAAGCGACGAAAACCCAATCCCGATGGCAAACACCGAGTGGGGGGCTTGTTTTACAACGTCGTTGCCAAGCGACGAAAACCCAAACCCCGATGGCAAACACCGGGGGGGGCGGCTTGTTTTACAACGTCGTT